CAAAAATTAAAGAAATTTTGCAAATTTTAGCGTGCTGAAGAATTCTAAAAAGCGTATGACTAAAGATAGTGTTTGTCAGACGTACCTAATGAAGTCTTTAAGGACTCATCTGCTATTCCGGATTCGGCTGACGCCTCGTCCGGAAACAGCAATGATTCGGAAAACTTTATTTTAGCTACTTGTGACAAAAATAACTATTTTGCCACAAGTACTCACCTAAAGTTTTTCAGGACGACTCATTACTGTTTCCGGACGAGGCGTTAGCCGGAAAAGTAGATGAGTCCTGGAAAACTTCGTTTAAGTACGTGTAACAAACACTATTTTTTGTCATACGCTTTTTAGAATTCTTCAGAACGCTAAAATTTGCAAATTTTCCTTAATTTTTTAAATCATAAGGGTGCATCCAGATAGAAAAGAAATCCTAAAAAGAAGCATTTTAAGGACTTGAATGAATCCGTAAAATAGCTGTTTTTGGGAGTGTATGACAAAAATATTTATTTTTAATCATTCCTCTTACTCCACTACTTTTTTGTACGCCACTGGTGGCTTTATTTTGAAAGATACGAAACAAAATTATATATCTATCGATAGAGAAAACTTTATTCTTAATTTTTTGTATATTCTATTTTTTTTTGTTTTCAAGCGTTTTAATGATATTGATCAATACGTGTATATGTGATTACCCCCCACCACATTTTTGTTCACGTGAGGCCTTACCTTGAAGACATCAACAAAAATAAGGTCATAGCCATTATGCAGAATTTTATGCTCTATCGATTGGTACCAAAATGACGTTTCTATCTTTTACCGTTTATGAGAAAAATAATAAAAACTAAAACAATCCACTTATCAAGTTTGAAGGGGGTGGAGGGGGGGGTCGGCATGATTTTTTGAGATGGGTCTGTTCAAAAATCTACTAATTCTGACATGTTCTTTCACTTGTGAAAAAGATTTGCTTTTTGAAGTATGAAATCCTCAAGTCACTAGGCTATTCTGACATTGGAACCGGAACCCGCATGTCTGTTGCACTCGCACTCCCATCGAGCGTCATAACTATTATATAGTGGTCTGGCAGACACTTGCAACCGTCAGAATAGGCTGGCTGTTTACATACACTTTTTGAATCAATAATAGCATATTCTTCAACGAGCATTTTTTAATGATAGCTATTATTTGCGAGTAGAAGACTAACAGGTTAATAAAAAAAATCCCTTTGCCGATTTTCTTTAAATTTGGCACGTTTGTTTGTAAAAACAAAAGGTATCTTTTGACTCAATTAGATTTACCGTAATTATTCCAGTGGCGCCCCAGAGGACAACTACGTTGGTAAAAGTAGAAAAAAAATGGCACATCACTTTTTTTATATCTTTGATATTTATTTTTTTTAGATCAAGCAATTCATATTACTTTTTTTTGTCTCTCGATTCTTTTTCGTATTTCTCTTGAAGTTAACCTCTGGTGCGCCACTGGAATAATTACGGTAAATCTAATTAATTCAAAAGATACCTTTTATTTGAACAAACAAACCTGCCAAATTTAAAGAAAATCGGCAAAGGGATTTTTGAGCAAAAAAACAGATTTTTTTTTCAAAGTTTGACACCCTGTATCACGAAAACTAAAACTAAGCATTTGCGCACCCATGTTTCTATTAATTTCTTTTTTATAATCATGAGTTCTATCTATCCTAGAAGTTTGATCCCATTATTTATTAACACCCTGTATACTTTCTCTTTGAACTTTTTGAAGAAAAAAAAAAATATTAGTTTTTGTAAAAAAAAAATCATCAAAAGTCTTATTTTTTTTTTGAAACGAAAATTTCGTAATCTGACAGTAGACTTCAGTCATATCACAGTCATATTTTGTTTGTATTGCAAAGAACTTGTATTGTCTCGTTGCCGCCCGTGTATTCGGAAAATACGGAGGATTGGATTGGTCGATAAGCCGTGGATTCCGGTTTGGAGTCCATGGGGCGGGCAGGGTCGGATTAAGATCTTTTGGGGCCCGGGGCTATTTTCACAGAAGGGGCCCCTAGGTCCCTGAAATAAATTCGAACGTTACTCAAAACTTTACCTTGCAGGTTAAAAACATGTAATTTTGGACAAAGTGATTTGGATTTTTTTTTTCTTGAATAAATTTCTGAATTATCCACCGACCACCACTATCGCCGTACTTAGTATCTTAGTAACATTTCTAAAATTTGTTTTTTAAATCAAAATAAAAATTAAAAAATTGAAAAATTTTTGCCATGTAATCAGCTAGATATAGTAGTCTCTACAACTTTTTCATATAAATATTTTTGATATTATGCATATTAACGCCAAAAAATTATGATTACAGAATGACTGGTGGTTAACGCTCTTAAATTGAAAGGGGCCCACATACTGCGTTTTTATTGGACAGTTTTGTTGTACGTGCAAATCTGATCGAGTAAAAACGACACAAAACCGAAGTGCATGTGCGAAAAATTGTCGTTTTTGCTGGCATACAAAACCGATGCAAATATCTGGCTCCACCTGATTTTGTCCGTTGGATATGTTCGAAATGTCAACAAATCTGAAGTGTGTGGGCTAAGAATTTTTAAAACGACGGTTTTGTTTGCTGTATGGTGCATAGCTATAGAATTTTGTATTATTAACTTAAAAATCATAAAAACTTTCCAACATAACGGATCCTCATCAAACCAAACCAAACAAAACTGTCAGACAGAAACGCAGTCCGTGGGGCCCTTAAAATTATATGCATGATTTCTTCCCTGTGTGAGGTAATGTTTTGGGGCCCCCCTCATTTCGGGGCCTGGGGCTTTAGCCTCCAAAGCCCCCCCCCTTAATCCGGCACTGTGGGCGGGTAGAACTCGTATCATTATTCAGTTTAATATCGAGCAAGAATGAATGTATCATTTATTGTTCGAAGAGAAAAGAATAATCCCTCAAAATTTCAGCATTGTGAGCGCAGGTTATTCAGTAGGTTATAAATTATTATCCCTATAACAACTTTGCTATGTTCTGGCACATACTTGCAACCCTTGAAATAGGTTGTCAATTTTTTTTTTACGTCTAAACATAATGAAACATAAAAATTGTAGCCTTGTGGGAGAAAAAATTACATTTCCAAAAACTTGATCAATTACTTTCTTAATTGACCGATATTAAAACATTATTTGAAAAATTTCTGGCTTTGCGGGAAACGGGTAAGTCGGATCAAAGTTTTTCGGATGAACCGCTAGCTCTCCTACTATATCTTTTTTATCAATATTATCATATTAACATTGAGATAGCAAAAGAGTGCCTAGCATGCAGTTACGTGACGTCACAGCTGAGATTATGTTGGTATTTGAAATGGTATATTTTCTGAATGGCTTATTTATTTGAACTGGATCATCTAATTTTGGTTCAAACAATGTCTGAAAAAAATTTCAACAATTTTCAAAATTTTATTGAATGAGCCCATTCAAGAAATAGTAAAAAAAAATAATGGGAAAGGTATCCTATAATGTGAAGACATAAGTGGTAATGTTTGTTAACTTGGACATGACGATGTTTCTACTAAGATTATCGAATGTAATACCACAAGAGGTTTCAGGATTACCGGATAATACTTTTACCTGTCACGAAACGCGTTACGCAGCAACACCACGACTCCGAAGGAGGAGTGGTGTTGCTGGTAACGCGTTGAGTGTCAGGTAAAAGTATTAGGTAATTCGGGTCAGCAATGTAATGACGTCTCGGCCAAGCATGCAGCTGGTAATGGCAATGGCCACAGCCGCGTCAGCAATCGAACGTTGCGGATGCTGTTGTTATTGCACAGTTGCAGTATCTACTTTTTCAAAACTTACAAGTATTCAACAACTTTGGATAGATTTTCTTGGGACAGGAAAAAATCGAAGGTTTATAGGAATACATGAGCTCTGCTCTCGTTTATCTCAAGAGATCTGCAACTTTTTACCAATATTTCATTCCATAACAGGTTGCGATACTGTGTCGTCATTTTGCGGAGTAGGTAAGAGAGGGGCGTGGAAGGTGTGGATGGCACATCCGAATATTAATGCAGCTTTTGAGCAACTACTTATGGGAAGACCTCCAACTGAAGAAATAATGCGCGAGGTTCAAAGATTTGTAGTTCTTCTCTACGATTCGACATCTCCCTTCAGCTCTGCTGTCAACAAATACAGACAACACCTTTTCATATAAAAACAAATAGAGCTACTGAAAACATTCCACCAACAGAAAATGCGTTACTCCAACATACAAAGATAGCAACTTTGCAAGGTCTTTTATGTTTACACTGCCTGGAAAATGAATACCAGACTCCTCCACCCGATATCTGGGATTGGGAAAAAACTAATGACGGCTTTCAACCATTGTAGTCTACTATTCCAGATGTCGCAAAAAGTTGTGAAGAAGTTTTTGCCTGTAGCTGCAAACAAAGATGTATGGCAACATGTAAATGTGTAAGAAGCGGCCTGCGTTGTACCCAACTATGCCACTGTGAAGGTCATTGTTCTCAAAATTATTAAATGTATCTATTGTAGAATATGTGAATATACGTCTTCTAGAAGTTACAAGAACATTAAAATGTATGTACACTAAGAGGCGACTATGGAAAATGATGGGAGAGGAGAGCAGAAGAACGGTAGGGGTAGAGCGGGAGAGGGGAGAAAGGAAAAAATCTAAATTTTACTAAATAAATATGTTTGAGTAAAGTTTTACATGCCTAATAGCGGTTTTCTGACCCCTTTTTTGATGACATCATAACTGGTAGTGGGGGTAGAAGTTTTTTGGGTCTGGGGCGTTTTTTAATCTTTGATGTATCTAAATCCAAAAGGGCAGCTTCTCCGCCAGAAGTGAAATATTTTTGGGATAGGCCACCCGACTAAAGCCTTGCTCTTTTTTAAAAAAAAAATTATGCAAACTTGTGACTGTATTACATAACATCACATCTAATGGGTGACTTTGCATATAACTAATTCACTGACCATATTGGTTTAAAAAATATAAAGTTACCTCTTTATGGCAAACCCCGCAGGGATATATGGGCGGAGCGTTGGGATTCTGAGAATTAAACACCATCGGCTGATCGGCCGGGTACACTTTTCCAGCACTGACTGGCATCGGTTTGGAGGAATACATGTTGTTTATGGGCGACATCATAAAGTTGTTGTTGTTCATTGGTGGCCCTACAAATAAATCCCACTTGTTTACCTCTTTTCTAACTTTATTAGAAAAAGCAGTATTTTGTCCTGAAAATAACATACAATAATAGGTTTAGGAAGAGTTAATTGTCAGTTTCACTACATAATAAATATTATCTACATCATACAAGGATAGTATTCTAAAGAAAGAAAAACATAAAGTTTCCTCTGATATCTGATTATAAACGACAGGGTAGTATTTAGAAAAGTGACACATCAGTTCTGAAACGCAACACCGAAACACAAAGACACAGAACACTAAATAAAAAACAAAAAAACCAATTACGAATATAACAAAATATCGAAAAATAATGCAGAAAATGGCAAAAAAACAAAATGATTTCACACAAAAATTGAAAATTCAAAATTGAAAGATCCGAATCTGATATTTTTATATGTCAAATCGAAATGTCATGTATCATTATTTAATAGTTGACAGCAAAAGGGACAGATCTGGGGATTTTTTATTAACTTTCAATTGACCTGTCTCGCATCAATAGAAAAGGATAGCCTAATTGTAATAAATATAAGTTGGAAAGTAAGTGAAGATGACATGCCCGCGCAACTAGTGGGTTGCAGTGTAGCCGGTTTGTATTATTGCAGTACAAAAATGTAGATAATACAAATCGAACATAACATTGAAGAAGTAATATAGTGTTAAGTGTTTAACAACGCCTTAAATCAGACAAAAGAAGAGCTTTAAAGTGTATGTTGACATCGTTTGCACTTTTATTTTGATAAATGTTTCATCCGGCAACATCGCACAATGAAAGTCCAAAGGAATATGTCAAGTATAATCAGACATAATTTTGAACGACCCTGCGGTGGGTTCAGAAGTAATATGTAAAGTATTAGTTTGTTCTTTGTCGAATTATTTACACGCTACAAAGAAAGAAGGAACGATTAATTCTGAACTGGCCCCGAAATAAGAATACGACGCAAGCCCGTAACAAACTCGCTTCTCATTGGACGCTCACCTGCAGCCCACGAATTGCGCGCGCAGTCAAGGTAAAAAAAGATAGGTCAATTGGTGAAAATAACGGTCAAAATTCAAACTCTATCGTGAATTCAACTATACCAACAAATATCACTGAACTTAAATTATTGACAATAAAATCCATTGAAAATAGAAACGCAGCTGGTTCAGATGGCTTATCTGCTTAAATCTTGAGTGACCTCCCCGATCAGGCACTGTTGGTTTTGTCTTATGCCATAAATAAATCATTTCTGGAGGTATCATTTCCATCAAGTCTAAAGCAAGCTACAGTAGTTCCAATTCACAAAAATGGAGACACGAAAAATCCTGCAAACTATCGGCCTATCTCGTTATTGTCAACAATATCCAAAATTATTGAAAAACCTTGTTAAAAAACGCGTGATGGATTTTCTGATATGCCATGATGCCTTCAATGGTGCTCAGTTTGGCTTTCTTCCCAGAAAAAATACACACGACGCAATGCTCAAAGTAATGGAGCAACTTTTCTGACATTACAATAATGGCTATGCTACTGCAGCGGTGTTCTGTGCCTTTTCCAAGGCTTTCGACTGTGTGAGTCGCAGAGCGGTGCTGCGGAAGCTGGAAGCTTATGGTTTCAGGAGACTTGTCCTATAATGGTTCGAGTTTTTCTTAACCAACTGCACTTAGAATGCCAGGGTGAACGGCGAATGTTATTGACCACAGAGTACCACAGGGTTCGCTTTTAGGACCGATCCTGTTTTTGCTCTATATTAATGACCTATCACACATAGACAGATCAGGAATATTTGCGGCATTTGCCGATGATGCAACGGTTTTGTGGCATGGAGGGGAATCGCGATAGTTGGTACAGGTGATTTCTCAAAATCTAGTTTAAGTTAAACACTGGTGTGACGCAAATGGGCTCCTTTTTAACTTTAACAAGACTCAATTAGTCGGTTTTCGCTGTAATATGGACGATATCGTATGTGATCAGTTTTTAATTAAATCTTCCACATATCGACGTCAGTTTAAAATTTCATCCACATATCTTATCACTAAGCAAATAACTCGCTTCAGAGTGTTACTATGTCCGAGCCGTAGCTACCCACTTAGGTTCACAAACTGCAAGATCAGTCTATCATGCAGTGTTTGAGTCACATCTTGCATAAGGCTTACCTGGCTGGGATTTTGTACCCAATATCTGTTTGACTCTGTTTTAAGACCTATTTAACCCTATCTCACGGTCTAATAGGACAATAGATTAAGGTTTTTAACATCAGATTGCATCACCTGACAGTTTATCGGAAGGTCAATAAACTGGGCATTAGGAAAAAAATCCTTCATCTTTATAAAAGATTAAAAAACCAAAATAAATAATTTAAAAATAAAAATATCAAATGCACTTCAATAGGAAAATAAAAAAACTTCTCTTACAACTATGTAGTTTAATCAGGATTTCAATTGCCTATTTCCAGGGATCTATTTTAGAACATTCAGAAATGCACACATGAAATACTTTCAAAATCTTGCCATTTTATAGACTAAGTAAATTGCCTTGTGAGAGTTGCTACATTTATCTATTCTATTGGCTCTTCAAATATTTAATGTAAAATTAATCTACAGTATTTAGAAAGAGACAAAAAAATAAAATTGAAATAAACCTTTCTTATTTGAAGGATTTTATGTGATGTATTTAGTATTTAACTTTATCAAAATTGCAAAAAATACTTTTCAAGGCGGTTTTTGCAATAAAAAATATCACAGATCTAAAATTGTAAGTAGTAAATAGATAATGAAATCTTTATGGATGGTTCCAGATGCCTTTAGAAGTGCTTCCTACCTAATAGATAAATTAAGATAGCTTTAAACAACTACACATATATGTTTTAATCAAATCCAGAAAAGTTTTGTTACTCCAACATGGAAAAAATATAAAAAGTGATAAGGTTGTGGTAAGCTTTTATTTAAAGTATGCAATAAATTTCCTAAGCACTCACCAATGGGTCCATTAGGACCATTCATGGATCCCATTCCACCACCAGGTCCTCCATGTGGACCATGAGGACCGCCATGAGGTCCGCCCATCGGACCTGGCCCGTTCATGGGCCCATTCATTGGACCATTCATAGGGTTGTTCATAGGACTTGTCATGGGACCGCTTATAGGACCATTCATTGGACCGTTCATCTGGTTGTTGGGACCGCCTCCGTTCATTGGGCCATTCATCGGACCTCCCATTGGTCCGCCCATGGGACCACCGCAGCTTCCGGGACCCATGGGGCCTTGCATGGGTCCCATTCCTCCAATTGGACTGTGCATGGGTGGACCTACAAATTTGGGCGTTAGGTTTCAACAAAGAACAATCATGGGACGGATAGTAGAAAAATTGAGACATTTATTTTCACCCATGATATCCCAGTTAATTATTATGCCATTTAATAGTTATTTATGTACGACCCGCATTATAATAGCTTACACCTATCTCATTTTAGCCTGTTTGAGATATGTAATAAGTTGTATTATCGTACTAGTGATGTAATGAATTCATTACATTCTGATGTGAGTTTTTTTTTTCTCTTCGCAGATGAATTTGAAAAAATCAACACAGAACTGAAAGATTTCAATATTATTAACGCCCATTTAGAGCAGGTATTATTTTTTTCCTTGCATTCCAACCAACCATGAAAATAGCCTATGTATTATTGAATATTTGGATTCTACTGCACAATCTAGACACATCTCATATACCTATTTATACATCAACAATTTTTGAAATACTGACTGTCGAATATACTTAGGCATTTTAATAAAAAACTAGACTTACCTGTCATACCAGGATGCATAGGGCCTCCTGGTCCAGGTCCGTTGGGACTATTCATCATATGTGGACCCCCGTGAGTTCCAGGCCCCATATGCCCTCCCATCCTAGGTCCATTCTGCATCATTGGATTACCCATGGCATTTGGACTGTGCATCATTGGTGAGCCCATGGGTCCCATACCTAAACAACCATTTGTTAAATATAATTTACTTACAATTTCCATAATCATTTTTGATGCTAACAAAAATACCTTTGACAAATAAAGTGTATGCAAATAACGAACTTTGAGAATAATGAATGGCATTAACTCAAGCCCAGTAAACTGTATAAAATCATCTTCAACAAAATAAAAAGGAGTCTCGAATTTTTTTCCAACTTATTGATATACAGGGTGTCCCACGAGGTTCCTCCCAAATGATAATTTCGGAACGCATCATCATATGTTCCACTGTATAATTTTCTGTCATATCCTTTAGCAAAGCCTTAATAAATATGGCATAGTCGAGTTTGTAATTTAATTTTCTATCGGAAAATACCATAATATACCATGAGTCACATTTAAGATTCGAAAGTTGACGTCACTTGACCGAAATTGAAGCAAAAATGGTGAAATTGGATGACAATGGTAGAAGCGGCACAAAAATTCACCCAGATCCTCAAAATTTCAATTATATTGGATGACGCGTTCCGAAATTATCACCTGGGAAAAACGTCGTGGGACACCCTGTATAGTGCAGTGTAGTTTTTCAAAATTCGCCAATACTATTTTGCACAGGGGATAGAAATGGTGGAAAACCATTGAAAAATGTTTAAAAAAATTATAGTTCCTTAATGTTAAGTTTACCACATTCAAGACTACCTAATTTGGATATTTGGATAGATTTTAATTGAAGAGAAGCAATCACGAAAAGTTGTTGGAATGCAATCTTCCACCATCAACTTCGTCTTGATATATCAATTAAAAAACAAAAAACAAAAGGAAACACATTTAGAACAAATTTTGACTATTTTGGGATTTCAAATGCAAATTTGAATCATAAATACATCTCCGAATGAATCTGCATTGCTCCAATTCAGGATCTTTTATTGTTACCCGCAAATTTAAGCACACTTGCAACTATGTTGGAACAATGTTATGTAGGGTTTTTTCTGGCATGAAAATACCCTTAAGTATTCAACTCAGTATTCACTACTGAATAAATAAACACTTTGTAAAGGAAGTGAATAAATGTTGATGAGGTGGATAGTTGCTTCCTTTATGTTCTGATGAGTTCATTTAGGTACCTACTAATTTACTTCAATATTCTATAGGTACCTACTTATCTTCAACTGTTTCCAAAATATTGATATTTCAAAATCAGAATTTTTGATACCTATATAATTACATTTACATAATTGAATTTTCTACAAAAAGGGGATACACAGCACAAGAAAAATATATGATATTTTAAAGTTCTAATTCAAGTACGGTATCCTTGTATATACTGTAGAGCATAGAGCATACAAAACCCAGCAAACAACAACTGAAAATACTTTTGAAAATGGATTTAATCAACTAAAAAACTCAAAAACTTTACAGAAGAGTAAGGCTAGTCATAGCAAGAATAAAAATGAAGACCTTAATGTTTATTACCTTGTTATGTTATGTTAGTATCGATTTAGTATAAAGAAAATCATAAAAGAAATACATATTAATTAATCTAGATTTACATCTTACGAACATACAGATAAATCAATCTATTATTTGGGTGTCTTTGTTTGTTTGTTTATTTGTACTCATTTTTTTGGGAGAAAAACAAGCATGTAGATAAGTGTACCTAACATTTAGTATGTAAGACAGAAGGAAAACTCAAGAATTTGAGGATGTTTTTTAAGCCCAAAAGGAAATTTTAAAGAACTTGAATATGAAAAGCGAAGAAGTTGTATCCCTTCGCGACAATATTAAATTTTTGAAAGAGGAGATACTCGTTCTGGATCTGACTGTACAATCCTATAAGGATAAAATGTCTGTTTTTCATAAGAATATTGAGAATCTAAATGAAATTAATAGAGCCACGATCACACAAATAAGGGTTTTAAAGGCGGAAAATGTCCATACACAAGTGGAGACGCGGTGCTGTTCTAAAATCACAAATTGGTAGCCTTTCATTTTTGATTGCTCAGTTATTAATGCTGCCTTGTCCGATCATAATGCCGTTTTGTGTAAAGTTCAGATGATCCCTATAAAAAAAAAAAACGAGAAAAAAAAACAGAAAGGTATAAACAGGGCAGAATTTTTAGTTCGTCAAACTATGATAGGTATCACCGACTATGTGATAGTGCTTCCTGATGGAGTGTTTTTTCGTCTATGGTCAAAGGGAAAGCTGGTCGATTATAAACGATATTCGTAAAAAAGTCATTTTCTCCCAAGCATCAATGATAGCGACATGTCTCCTAACTCAGTCAACAAATTTTACTGTTCTACGGCAGAAAACCTGACCAATATTACTCAACACACTGATCCACTTAGTTTTCTCTCAAATAATGCAGGGATCAATCGTTCCTTTTACTTTTTTCCTACTTCCCTTGAAGAATTGAAACAGATCATATCAGGTATTAAAAATAAAAATGCTCTGGGGACGGTAGTCTGTCTATAAAATTATTTGCAAATTTGCTTGACAAGGTTTTGGATCTTTTGGGTCAGGCCATCAATTTGTCTTGGGAGTCTGGTGTCTTTTCTTCATGCCATAAGCTGGCCAAAGTAATTCCATTTTACAAGAGCGGAGATTTGGGAGATCCCTCTAATTATAGGCCCATATCACTACTTTCTAATATATCCAAAACTGTAGAAAAGCTGGTTAAAAGTAGAGTGATCTCATTTTTGAATACAAACAATGTTCTGAGTTCTCTTCAATTTGGCTTTCAAGAACATCGCAATAGAGATGATGCGATTTTCCAATTTTTGGAAGAGTTTATTCCGGCATTAATAGTGGTGATGTAACTGTAGCAGCTTTCTGCGATATATCAAAAGCATTTGATCACGTCAATCACCACATCCTGTGGCAGAAGCTCTCTCACTACGGCTTTAGAGGAGTGACACTCAAATGGTTTCAATCCTATTTGTCTGATCGCCATCAGAAGGTTTACATTGGGTCGTCTCAATCGGTGGTGTTGGAAAATGGGGTGTACCTCAGGGGTCGATACTGGGACCACTCTTATTTCTTATTTTTATAAATGACCTTCCATCACTAAATATTATCGGGAAATTTACTTTGTTTGCAGATGACACCACAATTCTATGGCACTATGCTGACCATCAGAGGCTAAAACGAGCTATTCTCACAGATCTTCAGCAGCTCAAATCTTGGTGCGATTCTAATCTTCTGCTGTTAAACTTAACAAAAACCTTTGAATATAAAACTACAGGAAGGAGCGTTTTCTATCTGTCACTACAGACAACGCAGAGACGGAAATGGCCATTTTGAGCCTCCAAGTATGGACTCATCATTTGTTTTGGTGGTTCGCTGTGTCCTCATTCAAGTGAATGTTTAATGGATTTTAGCAGTTTGAAATGATAATAAGTACTGGAATTAGTGAGAAAACAGTGAGTCATAATATTGACAATCATATTTAAATAAATATACGCCACTGCCAAACCGGAAATACTAGTCGGCCATATGCAACCTCCACATATTTTGGTCGCGCAGATTCGAAGTTATGCTCCTTCCTGTAGTTTTATATTCAAAGACTAAAACAAATATTTTGTCAATGACAAAGAAAGTATCAAAAAATTTGTCACTGTGTTGTAATTTTGCTCTGTGCTAAAGCCCTGCAATTTGCATGCCAAATCGCCAAGATATATCTTATCACAAGTCTTCAGCCAAGCAAAATAAACTTTTGTTGTGGAAGAAAAAGCTGGCATCCTGCGTTATTGGCAAGATGCCGAAAACCCCTATTTTTGATCCTGGTCCTGAAAAAATTCCTGATTCCAATTCCCAATATCCTGAAACCGAAAATGAAATGCAGAAGGGTGAGTTGGAAGCTGCGACATCACAAAGCACACAGAACACCCTAGTTCCTTTATCAACATTTCAGTCACTAGAAAGGAGGTATGAGCTCTTAGAAAAAGAGAATAAAATGCTAAAAGAACAGTTACAGACTTTACAAGCCTCATTAGATACAATTCTAATGGAAGTAAGGAATAATAATTTATCGAAGACAAAAACTAATAAAAATAAATCCTATAAAATTGACAAGGACGTACCGACTCCATCAGATACAGACCATGACATGGACATTCAAATTGACCGCCCCGTATCTGATGATGAAGATGTCATTTCCCAGGAGAAAATAGACGTCTCCGACGTTGAGTTTCCTCCGCTTAAAAAACCAAAACATACTGCCCCGCTCAACATTCCTCATAGTACTAACAAAAAATTAGTGACTTATCTAAAGAACAAACATGACGATACCTCACAGAGTACAGAAGAATTCCATGTTCCTAAGATAAATTTACGTATAAGTAATGCTAATCTGTTTCATTGTGATATGTCTGATTGGTTTCTAATCATGTCAATGCAGCATAAGTGCAATATACTCATTAATAATAAATTAATAAGCATGATATTGACATGTGCAATGTGGATGTTAAAAAACTTAAATCCCTTTTCGAACTTTACTAATGTTGTTAACTACACAGAGCGTTATATAGGTGTATTATTGTTGTTTGTTAACCATTTATCTTGTTTTATACTTTTTTTAATTTGTAGTGTTTGTAATAGCTGTAGTAATGTAAGCTCTAGGCAGTAGATTTTATTAGATATAAGGCATCTCTTGCATGTTGTTATCAATATTATTGGATGTTTGTAAGATGTACCAATAAATTAAAAAAAAAAAAAAACAAAAACAAAAAAAAAAGCATACCCACAAAAAGCAATCCCTCTAAAAAAACCGTTCCAATTATTTTAAGGAATATTTTGAGACCTAAACAACTTTTAACAAAACTTACGGACATGAAACTATTTTTTACTGACCCTAAAAAAGACCGATTGAGCATTTCCATCACTCCTGACTCTCCTGATGACCATCGGGGCATCACTAAATTTCTTAAAGAACAAAAAATTGAATTCCACTCTTATTTTCTTCCAGACGAAAAAATGATAAATGTGGTGATCAAGGGACTTGACAGAAATCAAGATCTT